AATAGTGTTGTTAAGGACATTCATGTGGACACATGTTTTCATTTCTCTTGGATACATACCTAGGAATGGAGTTGCTAGGTCATATGTTTTTTGAGGAACTTACGAACTATTTTCCAATGCAGCTGTCCCATTTTACATTTCCCAGCAGCAATGTATAAGGGTTCAAATTACCCCACGTTCTTGCCAACACATTTTTCTCTTCTTTTTTTTTTTTGATACTAGTCAATGATACTAAACTAACACCCATAGATGTAAAGTTTTGTAAAGATTTGCATTTCCATGATGGCTAAGGATGTTGAGTCTCTTTTTCTGTGCTTTTTGGCCATTTGTATATCTTCTTTGGAGAAATGTCTATTCAGATTTCATTTTTTAAACTGAGTTAGTTTTTAATTTGAGTTATGAGTTCTTTATATATTTTAGATACAAGTCCGCTATCAGATGTAGGATTTGCAAATACTCCTTCTCCTTGTGTAGAACTGTCTTTTCACTTTCTTGGTAGTATCTTTTGAAGCATAAAATTATGTAATTTTGATGACTCTTTCTTTTGTCCCATAAGCTTTTGATGTCGTATTTTAAACTGCTCAACCAAAGGTTGTAAAGATTTACTCCTAAATATTATTCTAAGAACTCTAGTTTTAAATAAGGACATTTGTTTAACCCTGTGATCTATCTGGAGTTACTGTTTGGTGAAGGCTGTGAGGAAGGGGTCCAGCTTCCCTCTGCTGCTGCAGCAGCTGTCCAGCTGTTCCAGCAGTTCCAGCACTGCTTGTTGAAAAGACTCATTTTCCCCAGGGAACTGTCTTGGTACCTTATCATTTTTACTAGAGCTTTGTAGTAAGGTGTGACTCTTCCAATGTTGTTCTTCTTTTGAAAGGTAGTTTTGGGTATTCTGGGTCCTTTGCATTTCCACGTGAATTTTAGGATCTGAAAAACTTCTGAGAAAAATGCAACTGTTATTTTGATGCAGATTGAATTAAATATGTAGCTCTATTTGGGAATATTGCCATCATCTTAATATTAAGCCATCTAACCCATAAATGTGGGATATCTTTTATTTTAAAAATTTATTTATATATTTTATAATACCATATTTTTAAAATTCAAGTATAGTTGAAGTACAATAGTACATGTTACAGGTATACAACATAGTAAGTCACAATTTTTAAAGGCTACACTCCACTTACAGTTATTATAAAATATTGGCTATATTCCCCATGTTGTACAATAAATCCTTGTAGCTTACTTTATATCTGATGGTTTGTACCTCTTAATCCCCACCTCCATCTCGCCCCACCTCCTTACCTCTCCCCCCTGGTAACCACTAGTTCCTTCCCTACATCCGGGAGTCTGTTTCTTTTCTGTTATATTCACTAGTTTGCTGCTTTTTTTTTTTTCAGACTCCACGTGTAAGTGGTATTTCATAGTATTTGTCTTTCTCTGTCTGACTTACGTCACTTAGCCTAATGCCCTCCAAGTCCATCCCCTCTGTACACCAGAAACTAATACAACTGTATTAGTTTTAAATCAACTATACTTCAGTTCTTCTGCCCATATATTAAATGGGTGGATTGGTTGGTTGGTTGCTTTTTAACTGAACAGACATTTTTTCCAAAAGAGGAAATGCAGATGGCTAACAGGAACATGAAAAGTTGCTCAACATCACTAATATCAGGGAAATGCAAATCAAAATCACAATGAGATAACATCTCTCACCTGTCAAAATGGCAGTCATCAAAAAGAACACAAATAATGAATGCTGGCAAGGATGTGGAGAAAAGGGAACCCCTGAACACTGTTGGTGGGAATGTAAATTGGTGCAATCACCATGGAAAATAATATGAAGGCTTCTCAAAAAACTAAAACTAGAACCACCATATGGCCCAGCAGTTCCACTCTTGGGCATATATCTGAGAAAAACAAAAACATTAATTCAAAAAGATACATACACCCTGCTATTAACAGCAACATTATTTATAATTGCCAAGATATGGAAGCATCCATGGATAAAGAAGTTGCAGAACATATATGTAATGGAATACAACTCACCCATAAGGAGGAGGAATATCTTGCCATTTGCAGCCCTTCATTCACTTTTTTTTTTCCACTTCAAAAACCAGAATTTTGTAACTGGCATAAACATTTCCACTGCATCAAAAACAACAAAATACCTAGAAAAAAACTTAACTGAGGAAGTTACCTATACTCTGAAAACTGTAAAACATTGATGAAAGAAATTGAAGATGATACAAAGAAATGGAAAGAAGTCTTGTTCTCTTGGATTGGAAGAATTGACATTAGCAAAATGGCCACATTACCCAAAGCAATCTACAGATCCAGTGCAACCTCTGTCAAAATACTTATGACATTTTTCACAGAAGTAGAACAAACAATTCCAAAATTTATATGGAACCATAAAAGACCCCAGACTGCCAAAGCAATCTTTTGTAGGTCTTTATTTTTTCTCTTTCTTCTTTTTGTTCTTTTTTGTCTTATGGTTTGATGACTAGAGAAGTTCCTTTAATGTTTGGTGGTGCTGAATTCTTTTAGCTTTTGTTTATCTGTGAAGCTTTTGATTTCTCCATCAAATCTGAGAGCCTTGCTGGATAGAGTATTCTTGGTTGTACATTTCCACATTCCTATGAAATCACTGCCTCTGCCCCTGGACCTGGTGCACGTCAGATTCTATGTATGCTTCCCAAGCGAGTGAAGTCTCTGTCTCCCCCAGTCCTGTGGGGCCCCTGGAGCCCCACAGGCCTTCAAAACCAGGTGTCCTGGGGTCTCCTCCTCCTCCCAATGCCGGAAACCGGGGCTGCGGAGCCTGACGTGGGGCTCAGAACTCTCACTTCTGTGGGAGGGCCTCCGTGACTTAATCATTCTTCAGCTTGTGGGTTGCCCACCCTGGGGGGTATGGGGCCTGATTATATTGGGAACATGCTCCTCTTACCATCCTGCTGTGGTTCCCTCTTTATGTTTCCAGTTGAAGAAGACCTTTTTTGCTAGGTTCCAGTCTTTTATTTTTTGATGGTTGTTTAGCAGTCAGTTATGGTTCTGTTGTAGTTGTGAGGAGAGGCGAGCTTGTGGTCCTGCCGCTCCGCCATCTTGACTGGAAATTGGGATATCTTTCCATTTATGTAAGTATTCTCTAGTTTTTCAACCATGTTTTGTGGTGTTCATTGTGCAGGGAAACACGTTTTCTTTCTAAATTACACACCTGAGCATCATATATTATTTATACAATAAGAAGTTATGCCACAAGCAGAACATTGTTAATATTACTATAGGTTGATAAATAGTAAATTAGGATATATAATAAGGTTCCCATTTTTTAATTCCTGATTTTGGGTAGTTACACTTTTGTTAGAGAACCAGATTCTCTCCCATAAGGACCCACCACTCCAAGATCCCTTGTCACTCTGATTCACACTCCAACGAGGCCTCTCTCCCAGATGGTGAGACAGAAGGTGCTTCTGAGGAGGGGGGTGGCCTTGGGGCCTTGACACACTCACCCGTGGTCTGGCAGTGGATCACCAGGAGGCTGGCCATCTCAGCAAACTTAACACTGGAGGGGTTCTTCTTAATTTCTTTCAAGAATTCTCCAAGGACCACCTGACACCTACCAATGAGCAGAGAAGAAGGGAGACAGCACACGCCAGCCAGGGCTGGAGGAGCCTCCACCAGTGCCACTTCTGCTCTGGGTCACCCACCCAGAGGAGGACCACACTTGATGGGATACACTTGTCAGATGAGTGCTCCTCAGAGGCTGGGGTGGATGAGCTCTTAGCTCCTCAAAGCGGGAAGCACACGGATCTGGAGGAAGAGAGCAATTTCTTGTTTTCCCAGCGCTGCCTGTCTGTTGGATGTCGGATATGTATATGCACTGAGGGCTTTGGCAGCCTGCCTCTTCCCTGTCACTCAGTTTCCAAATCTCTTTGCCGTCATCACCCAGGATCTGGAAGAGTCCATCCAGGATCTCTGGCAAATAATCCAGCAGGTTAATGTCTGGCACGGACTCCAGAACCAGGATTTGGGCTGGGAAAGAAACCAGCAGGGCAAGTCACCAGCCTAAGAACTTGCGTCTCCTCACCCATCCTCTGGGACTGGCCAGTGAGAAGGGGCCCTGCTGAGGCAGCTTTTCAGGGAACTGAGGGGCCCACAGGGGAGGGGGTGCAAGCGGCTGTTGTTCCTGTTTATTTGAAGGAGGCATCTGGGTGATTCTGAGGACAAGGAAAGAACTGTATCCTTTTCAGGGGCAAACGTGATGGGCTTTGGGGTCAAAGCCGACTAAGTTATGTTTTTGGTTTATCTGGTGTCACTGGGTCCTAGAGGGATAATAAAGAGGTGTCTCTGTGGTCACAGGAGGCACCCAGGGGGTGCCAAAGAGCAGACTGTATTCAGCTAGAGGCTAATTATAGCCAAAGGAGGAGTGTCAAGGGACCGGATCTTACCCAGGAGATGATGAACTGCCGGGCATACTGCCTGTTGGAATAAATCCTCTCCTACAACAAAGGGATGAAGCTCAGTGGGTTGAACCATTGCTTTCTGTCTCGACATCCTGTGGGTCAAAGGCACATGAGCTGCTTGGGGCCAGGGGCTGTGGGGGAAGATGGTAGAGCCTGAGCCAGGCAGGAGAGGTCCCCAGAGCATCCATGCTGTCACAGCCTGAAGGACAAGCAAGAAGGGTGGATTAAAAGCAGGAAACAAGGTCAAAAGAACAAATCAAAAGGCAAGACCCTACCTACATCTCTGTGGTCTGGATTGAACGCTCTGGTGAGCTTAGCACGAATGGCCCGTTTCATTCCCCCTGCTGGCTGCAGGGTGGGGCTAGCACGACGGGAGTTTGGGGGTGATAGAACAGTCCTGCATTTTGATCCTTCTGGTGACATAACTCTATACGCTTGGCACAGAACATACACTGTTTCACTTACTGTATGTAAATGAAAAACATTTAAGTTAGGCAGAGCACGCCAGTGATAGAATTTATAAGATGAAGGAAAGAGATTCTAAAAATAAAGGCGGAGACCAAGTACAAATACCTTTAAGAGGCGGTCTAGGAGCTCAGATCCGCTTTTCACATTGGGGTCTGGGTCAGCAGCCAACTACGATAGGCACAGAGGTGGAGAGAGGGTCACAGTCAGTATGTAAGACAAGGAATCCACTGAAATCCCACCGCCAAGGCCTTGGTGTGGCTGGAACGTCGCAGGGCACCTCTTTCGGTGCACCGGGAAGAAAGTACGGGAGGCAGGGAGGCAAAACGGAACCTGGCAAAGGCGCCAAGATGCAGTGGACCCCTGACCTGGTCAGGTACCTCTGGACGGGACCCGCTGCCACCGGTCAGGTGGCTGCTTCCCGGTGGGCTCCCTCAGGGGTTTTCAACCTAACAAGGCTGGGTCCCCTCTCCACTCCCGGAGAGGACGGAGCAGCTGTGAGGCGGATCCTCTAGAAAAGACTGGGGCGTCAGCAGGGCAGTAGAGCTTCAGGGAGGGAACCCCAAGAAGCTGAGGGTGAAGCTGAGGCTGTTAGGGACCCCGAAGCCTTTCTAATAGAGCTTTTCCTAGAGCCTGTGCTCTCCTCACAGGGGAAATGCAGTCTGCACTACGCATTCACCATCTTCACCTTCGATAAGGGAAGTTAGTGCTTTTGTTTTCTTTTTCTTTTTTGTTTTTGTGGGGAGAGGTAATTAGCTTTATTCATTTATAATGGCAGTACTGGGGATTGAACCCAGAACCTCATGCATGCTAAGCACGCACTCTACCACTGAGCTGTACCCTCCCCCAATAGTGCTTTTCTTTTTCTTTTAAAAAACTTTTTCCTTGAAGTATAGTCAGTTACAATGTGTCAGTTTCTGGTGTGCAGCATCCATAGTGCTTTTCAAATGATTGGTTTTTGACTCCAGTCCTTGATAAAATGAAATGCAATAAAAAATAAGCTAACAGAGATATGGGGGGGAAACAAACAAATACAAGCCCATTTAAAACATGTATCATTAGATTCAACAGACAACAAGTCTCCCTGGCAGCAGGTGCTGATCTGCTCCGCTTGCCTCTGGGAAAAAGGTGGGTGGGACGAGCTCAGCCCAGCTAGAGTGAGGAGCGGTCACCTTGCTCAGCCCGTCAAAGAGCACGTTGAAGTGGGGCAGCACGGCGCCGCGGGCCACCTTCACGATGTTGTAGAGGGCCTCGCAGGCGTAGTAGCGCAGCCTGCTGTCAGCGTCATTGAAGCAGGTCAGCACCGGCTCGATCAGCTCTTTCAGGTAGAGCCCCGAGTCCTGCAGTGGAACAGGAAGAGAAGCAGCTTAGACTGGATCAGAACCCAGGCCCCAGGCCCCAGGCCCCAGCCCCCAGCTCCCACGGAGATGCTCAAGCCTCTGTGTGAGGGCAGGGCTAAAAGACCCTCCGCAAGTCAGCCTCCCAGCATAGGGGCCGTGCCCGAGAACCAGGCGGCAAGGCCAGAGAGCCAGCCTTGCTGGCCTGAGGTGTGGAGAGGATGGCGAAAAATGACAGGTCTGTAAAACCCTGCTGGGTCAGAGTCAAGGCCATGGCTGGTGTGTCTGTTCCTCCAGGAGAAAGGCCCACCTTGCCCAGTGCGATGGAGCAGGCGGCCAGGCCGATGAGGCCCCCTTTCCTGCTGTGGGGGTGCTGAGACAGGGCAAACTCCTGAGACAGGGTCTGGATCACATGTTTGATTTGCATGGTGGTGTTCTGGGCCACGAACTCCCGGACCAGCCTGGAGAGAGAGAAGAGAGGAGCTCAGGACCAGCAGAAGCAGGCTGCTCCTGTGGCTGCAAGCTCGAGGGCCAAGGCTGAGGCAGAGAGATGGCCTGTTATGAC